TTCTGTTGTATTGATATAAAAATGTGTTCGGTTGGTTAGGGAAGGTGCACTTGATAAATGTGCAATCTTTGTGTTGCTCAAGAAAACCCACCAAACTCAATAGGTGTGAGAGGATTACTTGGGCTAAAACATTTGACTTTAAAGTCAATTATGCTTACGAGGTGCAATTGACGTAGGTGGGGTGATGAGTTTGGGTCGGGACTTGGCGGGGGGTTTACCGGGGGGGTTAGGAGGGGTAGGAATCATCAATTTTATGAACGGAGTTCCGTAGGGGGCAGCGGCTTCCGTGGCCACTGGATTCCAGTGGCCATGGAACCGGGCCGATATATATATATATATATATATATATATATATATATATATATATATATATATATATATATATATATATATCTTTTAATATAAAATTTGAGAGTTGATGCTTTAGAATTTTGACATGTGGCAACTTAAGGCTCCATTACACATCAGATGACACGCGTCCGCGTCCTGGAATCTGAAGCTCCTTCCCATACCGATTCTTTCTCGCGACCATCTTCTTGGCAAACAAAATCCTGCGCGATTTTGTCTTTCTTCATTGCCAAAAAAACTTCTTCCCCCAGATATGGCAAATTGAAGAAATACAAGGAATCCTTCCCGGATTCTTCGCCTTATTTCCGAAATCTACACTGTCAAGCTAATGTAGATTCTTCGCGGATTCTTAGGGTGCTTGAAGATCCAGGTTTTTTCCCAAAATTCCTCTTTAGATTCTGAATTATTCCTATTCCATACCTATTTCGAGCACTTCTCTACAATTTCCCCAATTTTTTCGGTCAATTATTCGATTCTGAATCGTGTGTTGAGCGAGATTCCAAACCTAATTTAGATTCCTTTTCCGTAATTATGTTCTGTGAATCAAATACCTGTTTCGATTTACTATTTATTAAAATTACTAATGAGCTATTGAGTTATTTATTAAAAGAGTGTTAGGGAATGTCCGTGAATCTAATGAGCTATTGTACGGCTCATTTGAAGAACTCTCAGGTAAATTTTGCATCTAATTGTATTTAGCTTTAATGAATTATTTGATAATTTTGATTCATTTTAGTTTATGATGGAATCTAAAGGACTTTTCTCTATTTTCAAATATCTAATACCCGTAAATATTTGCCAAATGTTGTTTTTGAAGAGGGGGGAGGGTATATGGTTTGCATCTTTTGGTTGTTGCTGGGGTTAAATATGGTCCATTTCCCACTATGGTTGGATTTTCTTTCAACAATAACTTATTTACACGGTGTTCTTCATCAGTACTTGAAGGGGAAGGGTGCACTCAGTTCATTGACAGCTATCAATTTAGCAATGGACATAGGCAGGTAATTTGAAAAAATACTATTTATTTCTTTTGTTAAGTACCCTTATTACCTTTCTAACTTTTCTTACCATCCAATACTTTTATACTATGTACGTAGATTTTTTTTTTGTCGTTTTCTTGATATCATCTTTAATTAGCCAATTCTATTATCTTCCTGATGTGATCTTTTATTAACATCAAAGTAAATAAAGACATGATTTTGTTCTCCATGGAGGCACGAAGCCAAATAATCAATATTTTTTAGCTTTGGGATATGATGGAATAAAATAAAATGACTCTTCAAAGTTCAAACTGACTACACATCTTTTATAGTGAAGTAGCAGTCAGTTAATGTAATGCAACTCTTGGCGCTCATCATGGATCATCATATCCAGGAATAGTCGTTCTATGTTTTAAACATAGAGATCAAGTTGCGTACATCCAGCCATTAGGTTTGTATTCTTCCAGCTATTAGCTTGGTTGCTAAGAACTCAGTTTACTGCCCATGGCTTACCTATTTTGTTGGACCGTTTGAATTGGGGAGTGGTAAACTTCATTGGGGTTGGGCTGCTGATGTGAATACTTAGTGGCATTTTGGCACTCCTTTGGTGATGTGATGAAGATGCTGGAATTGAGGAACTGTTGGGAATGTTGGGCAACGTATGGGCTGGAATATTGGTTGCTGGTTTGTGTGGGTTTTGGGCAGGCCTTTGTGGAAGTTTGCCACAAAATGAGTTGATAAATTATAGGTTTTGAGCTGTCTCTGGCAGGTATTTGACGCTACTGGACTGCTGGAACACTGCCGGCCACAATTGGGGCAGTTGTTTTTGAGTGACTGAGTTGAACCCATGTCCTCGCAGTTTTGAACCTGAAAACGCTGATCATTATCCCTCCGAAAGTTACTGTTTGGACCTCCAATCTGCCTAACTACTTTGTTATGTGCCTGGGCTGGATATTGGAACTGAAATGGTACTACTGGAGCTGCTGTTTGGGCTTCCAAAGGGCTGAATTTAAGAGTGCTCCTGAAAATAAGCCAATGTCCTGCGATTTGGACAGTGGCTTCTTGGTTTCATGGAGTGCTGCTGGAATTTGAGGGTTATTTGGTGGGTTAAAGCTGTTGTTGAACATCGAACTTTGAGTATGGCTTTGAGAAACGTGTGGGCTGGGTTAATTAGTGGTGGAGCTGCTGTTTTTGAGGTTTGTTTGGGTTTGCAAGCGCTTTATGAATGAAGTTTGTTGTGCATGGCGTATCCCTTGTGATGGGGAAGGGCTGTCTTCGATGATTACACTACTTTGGGGGCTGGGTTGCGCTTTTACTGTGCTACATGGGACTACTGGCAGCCGTGCACCGATTCTTCTTTGCCCTTTCGGTTGGGGTATTTGGAAGAACTGGGCACATTGGCTATCAAGTTGATCTTGTGGCTGTTAGGGCCGTTTCTTTAGGTTTTGAAGGTTGATGTCTCTTTGGTCCCTGCATATTTACATGTTGTGTCTGAACTCAAACTAAGCACAACAGCAGATGAAGGCAGGCATATAGGGCAACCTAGGGAATTCGTGTCCCGTCTGGATGAGGATGGATGCTTACCAAATACCTTGAGGGAACTCTGCCTACACCACAGGGATGGATCTGAAGGGTTGAGTGTTTCGCTCCGGTCACTTTGGTGTTTAAGTTGTCTTCCTCGATGTGGGTGGCAACTTCCGGTACTCGGGGATTGGCCCCTTGGCTAACTGGTAGATTACCCCAACCTATTCGTTGATGATTGATGGGACTTATGGCACGAATAGCAGAGCACCTACCTTGGATGGATTGGCCCCTGGGTTGCGCTTTCATGGATGATGCACTTTTGGACTGATGTTTGAAGTACCCCTTTTGATGATCAAGAGATTTGAGTACGGGTCCTTGGAGAGGGAGTATATGTAGTGCTTGGCTTGAGTTGCACCAGCCGCAACATGGATCTTACAAGAGCTGGACATGTGGTTCCCTTTGATGAGTTTGATAGTATATTGATGTATTTTTATGGTTATTTGTATGGTCTGCGTGCCAAGTTTATGTTGATGTACCTATTTGTATTGTTGTTGTTTTTAGGTCTTATATGCACGGAACCATTCTTATGGTTCAGCATTTGACATTGATGTAACTTTCTAATTATGGGTAATACTCCCTCCGTCCTATATCTTTCTTCCCGTTGCGCAAAACGAAGAAAAATCTCAAATTTTTTTAATCTATTTTATTTAAATATTGGTATGGAAATAAAAAATAAAATATACATATTTAAAAACTACATCAAAAGTTCAACAAAACAAGTGGTGACAAGAATATTTTATTTTATCATATAGGCCATGAAAAAACACAAATAAATATAAATTCCCGTGAAGTTGGAATAGTGTTCTGGAAAGAAAGTTTTAGGACGGAGGGAGTAATAATTTACATTTTACCCTCAAGTTGCGTACATCCGACCTCCCCTTACCCTGCAATGGGCTCAAGCCTTTTGAAGCACTAAGGTAATGTTGTTGTTCTTTTTAGTGTTGTACACCTACAACTTTCCATATTATTTCTCTGTATAGTGCAGCACCATTTACAATTTACTCCCTTACTTTAATTATTGTAAATATTTTGCCTGCTTCAACAAGTCTTCTGCCTTGCAGGCACTAGATCATTATCCAAACTCTCATCTTTGTTTTCACCGTATGAGCATCAAATACTTTAACAATGTTGTCAAGTATTATAATGTTTTATAATAAATTTTTTGTGTATTGTATTTGAATTTTTTGCTCCTATTACACAATCTGTACTACGAATTTTGAGATATTTTGGGAGGCACTTTTAGAATTTTTTTGCTCCTATTATGGTTTAGTCTACAAATTTTTTTATTATTTTTACAAATACTTCATTTGTTTTAGCCTAAAATCTTAAACATATGTCTTGGTTAGTGATAAACTAAAAATTCAAAAAATTTCAATAAAATGGTCTTTTGTTTTATTTATATTTTTTTTTGTGTTGGGTCATACCTACATATATAAAAATAATATAACAGAAAACGTACTATAAAAATATTATTTGTGGGCACAAACATTGCACCTATTCTCGTATTATAAATCTATTGTCCTACTTCAAGGAAAGAAAATTGCAGTCTATTTCTAAGGAGATTTATACTACTACTTTAATGAAGGATGTAAGTTTTCTTAAACAAATAATTTGTTACTAATATATAATATAATTTTCCTTTAATCGATTATCAAATTTTGTTTAATTTAACTACAAAAGGATAAACTAGGCGAATATTTCAGGACAAGGGTAATAAGTAAATTTAATTAAAATGTGGATTGAAAAATTATCATATATAAAAATGATCTCACCTACCAAAGTCATGATGAGCTTTATATTGCTTCACAAGTGAAAAAAAAGATAAGATTAAAAATATTGTTTATAGAAGACAATAAAAATCTTTGCAACCACAACAAAATATTGTATACCTTGGAGTCTTCCAAAAAAATTAAAATTAAAAAAGACTTTGTTGATTACACTTTCAATTTTTCAAATACCGTTTATTCTACTTTGGAATTTGTGTCCATAGTATTAAAAATAGTGCTACAAATATATTTTATTTATTCCTTAAAAATGTTACATTGAAAAAAAAAATAGTTTTGAAAAAAAATTTGTTCGGTCCCGTGTGTGGCACGGGTTAAATACTACTCCCTCCGTTTTTAAAAACACTTCCTCTTTCATTTTTTTCACTTCCAACAAAACACTTCCACTTTCTATTAAAAAACCACTTTCACCCTTACTTTTTCATACCCTACGTATCACATCATACTTTTTCTCTAACAATCTACCCATCACATCTTACTTTTATCCATCACATCAAGGGCAAAATTGAAAGTCAACTACAATTTAACACTTCCTTATTTTTCCACTTTTTCAAAGTAGGAACTCTTTTTAAGAACGGAGGGAGTAGTATATATATATATATCGGTATTTCAGAATTCTTCAACAGTGAAGTATCTAAAAATTTGGCTTCCTTCAATAGCGAGCTTTTCGGAATTTTTCGCTTATTCTGTGTCATCTTCGGCCTCCAGGTAAATTCTAATGGGATTTTCTCCCATACCTCTCTATTTGAGAGGGCATGGATGCCCTTCCACTATTATCTTGACATGTGGATTATTTTATGCCTAAATTTATGAGTATTAATAATATAAATTATATTCTAGAAAATCCTTCTTCCTGATCGCATTTAATTTTTTTGCTTAAGCTTCGTTATGTTGTTTTTTTTTAAAAGTGTAAAAATTTTGAATTTTTACTCCCTAACCTCTTTTTTTTTAATTTGGCTTTATTTTTTATTTTAACACGCAAATCTAAACTTAAACTATATTTTTAGATTTGAATTTTAATTAAAGTCTTGAATCTAGAGTCAATAGTGAAATTGAATTAAATACAATTTTATTATCAAATACTCCATATATAAATATTTATATTAGCATATGAATAATATTTCATCATTTGTCTTAAATTTAATTTACTTATTTACTATCCAAGATGTCAAATTAATTTTCATCTTTTTTATTTATCATTATTATCACACATTTGATTAAAAGATGTACTCCCATCGTTCTAAAAAACATTTCCTCTTTTTCATTTTTTTTACTTTCAGCAAAAATACTTCCACTTTCTTTTAAAAAACCACTTTTGCCCTTACTTTTTCATACCCTACCTATCATATCATACTTTTTCTTTAAGAATCTATCCATTGCATCTTACTTTTATCCATCACATCAGGGGCAAAATTAGAAGTCAACTACTCTCTCCGTTCTATAAAAGTGTTCCTATTTTGACTTTGTGTAAAAATAAGGAAGTGTTAAATTGCATTTGACTTCCAATTTTGCCCTTGATGCAATGGGTAAAGGTAAGATGTGAGAGATTGAGTATTAGAGAAAAATAATGATGTGATAGGTAGAGTATGAAAAAATAAAGGTAAAAGTGGTTTTTTAATAAAAAGTGGAAGTGTTTTGTTGGAAATAAAAAAAATGAAAGGATAGAGTTTTTGAGAATGGAGAGAGTATAATTTAACATTTCCCTGTTTTTGTTCAAGTCAAAATAGGAAGTCTTTTTGCAAACTGGAGGGAGTAGTTTTAACAAAAATTGGTTTATTACTCATATAGTGTTACTTCCATATTCTCTTTTTTCACCCCACTTGCATGAATTTAGATCAACATGTTTGATAACCTTTTTTAGTTTGGTTACTTCCATATTCTCTTTTTTCACCCCACTTAGTGACTACATTCAACTCTAATCTAAAAACAGATACGTAAATAAGGTTCTTTTTTGGTTCACATTTAATTTCAATGGAAATTGGCTCTTCAATTACTTGTACAACCATAGAAGATAATCGGCATCCCACTACATCCTCCTCTAACCCAATATGACCACACCACTACAGCTCATCTCTAACCTCTTTCACCCCACCTCACAGTTCCTAACTCACTGCACTTGATTCTTTTTCCCCCTTGAGGCAAATATTTTCTTATTCAATTCACTCCCACAAAACTTTATCTATGAATGTTGGTGATTCTTTTATTAGGGGCAATTTTGTTTTGTTTTCATTTTTCTTATTTTTAGCACGTATATTAACCTTAATTTTGTCCTCGGGTCTAGATGTTTGTGTGAATAAGGTACAAAATTTGAATTTTTATTACTTTTCTTAGTTATATTTGGCTTGTTTTATCAAATTGAATTAACTTTTAAATTGGTTGTTGTACTCTACTTCATGCGTTTGATTTGGATTTTTAGATTTTTTCTTTTCAGTTTAGTCCTCTAAGGCTGCTTCATAAATTAGAAATCAACTTCGTGTTGGATATTCTCTCTTGCTTTCATTCTTTATGAGTTATTGGTAGATAGTTTAGACTTTAGATCCATGTGTTTGGTATTCAAGAGTATTACAACAAAGAACAACTTTTGAATCTTCTAAATTTATCATTTGAAAATGGATATCTTAGCTAGGGATAATATGGATTTACTTGATTTGATTGGGACTTATTTTTTGAGTTGCTTGCGAGACAAATCAAACACACTGAAAACAGAAACCTAAAATTTTGAATTCGAAATTAATTGTCTACCCGATTTTAGACTCTCATGGTTGCGATGTGTTTTTATTTTAAATTTTAAATAGAAGATGTTTTTTCAGGTAATTTCCATGTTTGTGTAAAAACGCTGCATTTCCGCCAAAATACCAACCGGATTTGCCTAATCCGTTTTGATGTAGATTATTTAACCAAACGGATTAGGCTAATCTGTTCCACTTATTTAATTACCAAACGGATTAGCCTAATCCGTTCCCATATATATATATATATATATATATATATATATATATATATATATATATATATATATATATATTTGTAATTTTCTTTAAAAACTGATTTGTTGCTTTGTTCCAATTTTTTTCCCTTTTAAATTTTTTTAGTTATTTTATCTCCTCTTTTATAAACCTTTTTTAACAAATTAAATCCATTTTTATAAAGTTTTTTTTAATTTTTCTAACTTTATTTTATTAAAATATTATATTTTAAAATTTTTATATAACGATATTAAAAGAACAAGACAAAACACAATAATTTTATTACTAGAGTACATATAACAATTTATTCATAAAAAAGAAGAAGTCAAAACACAATCCATGACTAACTTATTTGTAAAATTTAATAATACATAAACTAAGACATAATTGAAATTCATGACAAAGCTATTCCTCATTATGATGTCTCCGTGGTCCATAGTCCATGTTATTCGGATAGCGGGTTCTCGTACGTCGGCCTGTTTGTGTGGTATGTCGTGGTGTTGGCCTCAAGATCTCGTACTCTGGAGTAGGCCATTGACACTTATCCGGTAGCGGCATTATGATGCCAGAGTAAGCATTGATGTAGGACTGAATTGAAAAAACATTTGGAATCAAATGATCCACGGTGACATTACAAAAATGACATACTGCGTGGACATGATCCCGTTGAGCAATGTAGGAGTGTAGGACGACCCATCCACCACTACAGAGTATATCCCTTGTTTGCGTGGTGCCATCAACGGGCAATCCAAGTAAAACCTCAACATCTTGTAGCGTAA